ATCTATTGGATGTTGGGAAGGGCGGAGGGAGGCAGGGGGAGGGGGCGGAGGGAGGAGGGGACAGGTATTTGTATAAACAAGGAGTGCAATGCGCACCACCCGAAGGATGGACATATTTGAAACATGGACTTGAGGGGGGCGACCAAGGGCAGCACTCGTAACCTAAACATCTGTACCCCCATAATATGCTGAAATAAAAGAAAAAAAAAGGAAAAAAAAATATGCTATGCATTTCAAAAAATCATTTGAAATATTATATCTACCATCTTTGTGTATTTGAAGTTGGAGGGGGACATTTATTCATGTGTGTCATTTAACATGTAGGTCCAGAAATCCCAAAGCACTAAAAGTAAGAATCCTCAATTTGTAATAAATAGGCCAATAAAATAGATTATCTTAAGTAAAACCATATCTTGTAAAATGTTGTACCTTGGAGGAGTCAGGGTCTGCTCTAGAAACTCCTCAATTTTAATGAAGTCTGTTTTCAACTCCTTGTTGTATACCAGGAAGGGAGGATTGGTACCCGGGGCTAAGTCCTTCAGCTCTTCAGGCTTTCTATGATTATTAAAAATAAGCAGAATTAGGCCTCTAGGTAAAGTCCACACTATAAAACACCAACACGGTATTGGTGTCTACCCATTTCAATCTCCAGCATTTAACATGTTCTGATTTCTCTTACCTGGTCATGTCAACAGTAGTCACATTGAATTTAACTCCTTTAAGCCAGAGGATCATGAAAAGGCGCTGGCAAAAGGGACAGTTTCCAATACTCTCCCCATCACTTCCAGCCTATTAAGATAAAGAAAGGCCTCAATCCATTTGTTCGTTCAACAAGTATGTATTCAGTACCTACTGGGAAATGACCTAGTTGCTGGAGACAATGTTGAAGCCCTTAATCTCATGAATTCTACCATCTATGGGCAGAGAGAGACAATGAATCAAATAATCTCATTATATGTAAAATTACAAGTGTGGTGAGTACATAATAATACGAATAATAAATTTTATATATTACCAGAATTTATATAATCATTTTCTCTTGATGGACATTTAGGACATTCCAAAATTTTTGCTGCTCTAAATACTTCAGCAACAAACATTTATGGGCATATAACTTGTTCTACTTCTGAGATTATATCTTTAGGGTTAATCTTTAAAATGAGAATCCTGAGTAAAAAGTACGCACATTTTCCACTTTGATAGAGCCTGCTAAATTTCCTTCCTAAAAGGTATCTTTCCATATGTCCATTGACCATTTCCTTATTTTGTGAATTGCTTGTTCATGACAGTTTTCCGTTTTCCTATTAAGGTAACTACTTTGTCCTCATTGTTTGGAAAAATTATTTGTATACTAATGACATTTACTCTTTGTGATACATGTTACATTCAATTTTAAAAACATGTCTTAAGTAAAATTTAAATGTACATAAAATCTATCATTCTTTTCCTTCATGTAGTCTGGTTTTTCTGATCTCTTTATATACATCAAGGTAACAAAAAACTTATTTTATTTTTGTATTTTGCTTTGCTATAAAGATCTCGTATTGTGTACCATTATGGCTTCATTTTTGCCTTTGTTTCAACTATTTGAAATTTGTTTCAATGGAAGAGGTGTATCAGGACTTCTGCCTTAGTATTTTTACTTTTTACAAATAATTCATAGTTGACTTACACCATATATTTAAAAAATTCATCTTTCTTCTACTGATCGAAACCAACACATTTTATGCTCTGAAATTTTATATGTACTTGAGTTTATCTTTGAACCCTCTATTCTTCATGAATTCACTCATTACCCAATGAATATTCACTGAACAAATACTTGTGTGTTTAATACATACCATACATTATATATAAAGTAAAACTAGATAGTAAAATAAAAGTACTCCCCAAAATTAACTCTCAGTTTTAAACAGGGATAAATTCTAGGATCAAATAAAGTGTTTTATGAGTGTGTAACAGAGAAACCCAGAGAAATCTATGTGTGGTCTGTCAGGGAAGGCCTTTCCTGAGCAAGTGGCATTAAACTGAATTCGAGGGATGAGTAAGAGTTAATTGAGTGAATGGGCATGAAGAGGACATTCTAAACAGAGGGAATAGTTCATGAACAGGCTTTGCAGTAAGCTTGAGCACGAAATGTATAAGGAACTGAAAGAAGGTCAATGCTGGGATACACAAAGCTAAAGTCTTCTGCTTTTCTAAAGAATTAGTAATTCTATGCTTCATCTGGAACGAGAGAAGACCCCATATAGCAAAAGCAATCTTAAGCAAAAAGAACAAATTGGGAGAAATCAATTTACCAGACTTTAAGCTATACCACAAGGCTATAGTAACTAAAACAGCATGGTACTGGCACAAGAACAGAGACATAGACCAATGGGACAGAACTGAGAACCCAGATATAAAACCATCCTCATATAACCACCTAATTTTTGACAAAGCAGACAAAAATATACACTGGGGGAAAGAATCCCTATTCAATAAATGGTGCTGGTAAAATTGGATAGCCACATGTAGAAGACAGAAACAGGATCCGCACCTCTCGCCTCTCACCAAAATCAACTCACAGTGGATAAAAGACTTAAACTGAAGACATGAAACCATATGAATTCTAGAAGAAAATGTTGGGAAAACTCTTATAGACATTGGCCTAGGCAAAGAATTTATGAAGAAGACTTGAAAGGCAATCACAGGAAAAAATAAATAAATAAATGGGACCTGATCAAATTAAAAAGCTTCTGCACAGCCAAGGAAACAATCATGAGAGCAAACAGACAACCTACAGAATGGGAGAAAATATTCAGATGTTACACATCCAATAAAGGGCTGATAACTAGTATCTATATAGAACTCAGGAAAATCAGCAAGACAAAAATCAAACAACCCTATCAAAAAGTGGGCAAAGGACATGAACAGAAACTTTTCAAAAGAAGGTAGACTAATGGCTAACAAACACATGAAAAAATGCTCAACATCTCTAATCATCAGGGAAATGCAAATTAAAACCACAACGAGATATCACTTATGCCCAGTGAGAATGGCTTTTATCAAAAAGTCCCCAAACGATAAATGTTGGTGTGGATGCAGAGAGATAGGAACACTCATACACTTCTGGTAGAACTGCAAGCTGGTACAACCTCTGTGGAAAGCAATATGGAGATACCTCAAAGAGATACAAGCAGATCTACCATTTGATCCAGCAATCTCATTACTGGGTATCTACCCAAAAGAACAAAAGGCATTCTATAAAAGAGACATCTGCACTTTAATGTTTATAACAGCACAATTCACAATTGCAAAGATGTGGAAACAACACAAGTTCCCATCAATCCATGAGTGGATTAATACAATGTGGTATATGCATACCATGGAGTTCTACTCAGCCACAAAAAAAATAGTGATCTAGCACCTCTTGCATTATCCTGGATAGAGCTGGAGTCCATTCTACTTAGTGAAGTATCCCAAGAATGGAAAAACAAGCACCACATGTACTCACCATCAAATTGGTATAACTGACCAATACTTAAGTACACATATAGTAGTAACATTCATCAGGCATTGGGTAGATGGTAGGGGGAGGAGGAGATGGGTATATACACACCTAATGGGTGTGGTGTGCCCATCTGGGAGATGGACACGCTTGAGGCTCTGACTCAGGTGGGGCAAGGGCAATATACATAACCTCAACATTTGTACCCCCATAATATGTTGAAATAAAAAAAATTAAAAAAAAAGAAAATGAAAAATGCCTTGTATCCAAAACATATAATAATATGAATAAGGAATTCTTACAACTCAACAAACTACCCAACTTTAAAAATGGGCAAGAGATTTGAACATTTTACAAAGGAAGATATACAGATGATAAATAAAGGACACAAAAGGATGCTCAACATCATTAGTCATCAGGAAAATAAAAATTAAAAACACAAACAGGTACCATTGTAAACACATTAGAACAACTGAAATGAAAAATATTGACCATACCAAGTGTTGGCAGGGATATGGGGAAACTGAAATCACCAAGAATTATGATAGAAGTAGTACTGGAAAGAGTGACAATAATTCTCAAGAAATAAGGGGGAATGACTTGGGGTTTGGCAATAATGTTGAGGAGGGTTAGTGAGTGGTTTCATGTGATGTTATGAGACTCAACCTAGGTATTTCTCTGGACTAGGGAGGTAGAATAGGCTGGAAACAACAATGAAGCACAAGAATACCTAAAGGACACCCACTCCAACTCCAGGCTCAATGGTAAAAGGAATGAGAAAGAAAAGGCAATCACTTCTTGAGAGACCTATAACTAATGTAGTGTACTCATGAGAGATCCAGGTTTTTAGACACCTCAGTCTTAACGTGTTCCAAACTGAATTCCAACCCTTCCTCTTTACTCCACACAAATTGACAAATTACCTACCTCTTAACCTAGTCTTTCTTTTTGGCTACTAATCTTGTGAATGGCATTGCCATCTGCTATGGGTTGAATTGTGTGCCCCTCCAAATTCATACGTTAAGGCCCTAGCCCCCAATGTGATGGTATTTGGAGATGGGGCCTTTGGGAGGTGATTAGGTTTAGATGAGGTCATGAGGATCGGGCCCCGTGATGACATTAGTATCCTTATAAGAAGAGACACCAGAGAGCTTGTTCTCTCTTTACCATATAAGGACACAGCAAGAAGTTGGCTGTCTACAACCCAAAAAGAGAGCCCTCACCAGACTCAGTCATGTTGGCATCTTGATCTTGAACTGATAGCCTCCGGAACTGTGAGAAAATAAATTTCTGTTGTTTAAGCCACTCAATCTGCAGTATTTAGGTATGGCATCCTGAAGTGTCATCCACTCAATTGCCCAGGCTAGAAAATTGGGAATCATCTTTTTGCTTCACTCCAAACATTGAATCCAACACTATTTCTTGTCAGTTTTACCTACTAAATATCTCTGAAATAAGTTAATTTCTCTCCTTTTCCATGGTCCTTCCTTCCTTCTTTCTTTCCCTCCTTCCCTCCTTCCTTCCTTCCTTCCTTTCATGTTTATTGATGCTTAATATCTTTCAGGCTCTGCTAGGTGATAGCTATCCATGTCCAAGCCATCAGCATCTCTCATATCTTGGACCTAATTTTTTCCACCTTTATTTGGGTCACTTAGCTTCTAGTCCGTAGCCTGTAGAAGGAAATACAAGGTTCTTTATCTTACAGCTGCTCTGATCTGTTATTTGTAGTAATATTAATGTCCCAGAAACCCTGGACATAATTTCAATGTGTGGGCAAATTTTTCTTTCCTGGAAGTGGGTGTGATAGAAGAAATGATATTTATTGTTGCTCTTTTGTGATGGCAGAGAGTGAAGAAGTATGGGAAGAGGCAACCAATCTGGCAGCTGCATTTATTTTGTAATAGAAATCAGACTAAAGATCCAACCAGAACAGGGTATAATGAGTGGAAACATTATCAGCGGTGGGAAGCAGGAAAAAGAATGGAGTCTGATAATAGATATGGCAGGAAGGGTGGATCGCCTTTGGCAAAAGGAGAGTCAAAACACTGAAGTGTAGGGGAAATGCAGTCAAGTTTTACAGGAAAACTGAAGATTTTTTTCTGCTTATGTTATGCTGATTTAAAGTGCCATCACATAAAATTTTAAGATATAAATTCCTTAGTCCGATTGACAAATTACCTTAGTTGGCAAAGACAGGATGTGGTCATTCACTAAAACAATTTTTTCTCTTTGTGTTTGTAATCTAAGTTTCTAAACATGAAAAATAATAGCAGTAATAGCTAACATTTATTGAGTATTTACTATGTTACCAACTACTATGCTTTACATACATGTTTTGCTTAATCCTCACAATGAGGATTGTGAGGAAGGTTCTGTTATTACCCCTGTTTTATAGGTGAGGAAATTGAGGCTCAGTACACTTAGCTAGTCAAAAGTTGATAACATAACATCTCATTTGAGAAATCCTGAACTGACTGTCTCCTCTGGAACCCACTCTCTTAAATACTGTTTTCTCTCACCTGATAGTTTTATTTAACTTTTCTTTTAATAAGTCTTTATGCTAGTCTTTATGATAGCTCTAAGAGAGTTTGAAAATGGTCTGAACATTCAGAGAAGAGTATCATCTTTTCCCTCTTTCCTACACACTTTAAAAAAAGTTTTTGACAAAAGTATTACATTCAGAATTTTGGCTGAATGTTAGGTTCCATAATTTTATGTACAAATCGGCCAAAACTTAATTTTTGAGTGTTTGGTAAAGAATGCAAACATTCCACTTAACAATGAAGAACAAACCAATAAGATGAGCCCTGCATTTAGAAAAAACAAACTCTGTGTTATAAAATTCTTTGTTCTTAGTTACTGGATATAAACTTTGCCCAAATCAATCAGAGCCGAAAGGCAATGTTTTCACTGACTATGTGGAACACCTAGGTGGTATGATATGGATTCTTAATTGTGACAGGAGAGTGCTTAATCTCAAAGTGAAACAAAAACCTGGACCAGATGATGCTCAAGGTTTTTCCAGAAAATCTATAATTGTATCAATGTCCTTAGATAAGCTTGTAGCTAAATCATTGTATCTGATAAAATTCTGGAAAATTTTACTAAAAAGTTTCACTCAACTAAAAACAATCAAATAATATTAGACATAGCTATTTTAAGGGATTGGAATTATAACTCTGCCATACACTAGCTATGTGACCTTGGACAAAGTTACTTAGCTGTTCTTTGCTTTAGTTTCTGTGTCCATAAAATAAGGTTAATAATAAACCAGATAGCACAGTGCCTACCATATAGTAAGTACTCAAGAAATGGTTACTTTAAACTAAAGTTATTATTTAATTTGAGATTTGCTCATCCAATGTGTGATTTGCTAAACTCTCCTGTCCAGAGTACAGCCCAAATATGGGAAGCATATGAAGATAAACAGAAGGATCAATGCCAGCAATGGATTTGAGGAGTCTGATTAAATTCAATAAACAACAGTTCAGACAAAAGGAACACTTTAGTTACTCTATGAAGAGACATTACCTCTGGTTTGGAATTGGTAGATGTAAAAAGCCAGTTAGGAAATTAAAGTCTCCTTTACATCCTAACTGTCTGAGCAATCACATGTTTTGCTATAATCCAGAGATAGGAGAAGTAGTTCTTATGCCTCATAGTCCAGCAAACACTTAATTGGATTAACCTGCTATTCAGGAATTCAAGGGTCTCTCTCTCATAATTTTGAAAAGACATGTTGATAATGTCCTTGGTGTATATATATGACCAGTTGTTGAATAATCTAAAATGGCTGTAAAAGTATTACTTTGGCCAACAGGTATTTAACTCAACATTTGTCAAGTATACCTTATTTTATGTCTTTGTAAGCCATCAGGAGGCTGAATAGTTTTAAAGGCAAGTTACTTAAACTTTATCGCCATAGTTTACTTATCTAGAAATGATGAGAACAACATTGCTACAATACTGTAATTACTAAAATTATAATACAATTGTAACAACTACTACTATCACTACTACTAATATTAATAGTAACTTATCTCCTAAATTGTTTTTAAGACTAAATAAGGTAACATATGTAAAGTGTTTATAAAAGGGCCAGGCACAATATAAAAGTTTGTTAATATTATTATCCTGAGTACTTCCAACAGTCAATGAAAATAGAGGGAAAAACTAAACGGTTAACGTAAACAAGGATTTAGTAAGCTGTTCAATTTCTACTTGGAATAACCCCTATAAATTGTTTTTCTCTTAATGAGCTAATCTGGAAACACGAATTTTCTTTTTCCTGCTTTAGGGGTTTTCCAAAGTGCTTTTCTGAAAAGTTATGACACGTTAAAAAAAAATGAAAAAAAAAAAAAACAACAAAACTCCAAGGCAAATCAAAAAGAGGAAGCAGGCATTCTAAAATGTCTCCTTATCACATAACAGGCACATAGACTCCTGATTTTTTTCTCCCACAGATTCCATGTGATCCTGCTGTGATGTTTGTCCATTGTGGAAGAAGCTTACAAAGTTCTGCCTGGGCTATGTGTGGGAAAGGGGTTTTCAAGACATTCTTAGCCCTCTCTTCCACCTACTCAGGCTTTCCAAAACCCTGTCTCATAAAACACAGATTGTGAGAGCCAGAAAGCCCTTAAGGATCATTCTGTCAGACTCCTTTATTATATAGCTGGAGAAACAAAATTCTGGAGGGAGGGAGGGATTTTTCCAAGGTTACATAGGAAGCCGCTGAGAACACAATTTAGTTGCTCTGCTACCAACCAGTTCAGTGTTCTTTCTACATGGTAGAAATCACTTTGCCTTTTTCAGATGAGAATCTGTTTTCTTGTCATCTAAGAGAAGCCACACACCGAGGCATTCTTCTAGGACTCAGAGTAGGAAAATAATTACAAAATCTTTCTCATCTCAAGTCTAAATGTTAAGATTTTTTTCAAGAAGCCAAAGTTCAATGTCAAGAAATAATATATTCTGTATGCATTTATAATAGCTGGAAAACTTACCTTCACAAAAAGCTCAATTTCAGGGTCTGCTTGAGTGCTGGGCCTCAGGCCTGCCATCTTTCTGTCTTTAACGGCAGTTGCCAACCCCCTGCTTCTTGCAGAGTCCACAATATTTGTAGACTCTTCTTCAAATTTTATCCAAAAGCTCAAATAATGTTGGTATTTTAAGAGGAGGGAGAGTCTATCTTGCAGTAGACTGAGTAAGACATAGGCCCAGTCTCTTCTCTCAAAGGGTGGGATGCAGAAAATTCTAGATGCTTAAGAGCAGCTCTTGAATTTGTTTTACTTCTTCCTCTTGAGCCAACATTTGAATCAAGGAGGAGCCAAAGGGGTGTGTGTAAACTGGCTGGCTAGAAGGGTGAGGGTGTTTCCAGAGAAGCTTCAATGCCATGAGTCAGCATAGGAGAAACACATATACACAAACACACACATGCAGTGCTGGCTTCTATATATCAAGCAGACCAGATGTTCTTTAGAGTCTCCTTTTGAGTCCTGGGCTCCATGCCCAGAAAAAGGCCTCTTATTTCTGTTCCTGTAACCTGACAGCTCTTCCAGGAAAAGAGCCAGAAATGACTTGGATTTTTATCATTGAAAAGGATGTTTATCCAATGTCTAAAAGAGGGCTAAAAGAATTGTATTTCACAAATGTCTCCACCCCCAATTCTACTGCTTATACAGCCAGATTTCTGTTCTGGGTTGCAAATTTCACTTCTCTCTATAACCAAGGGAACATTCACTGGGGTGGTTGAGTCTGGGGGCTTGTTTAGTGTGCCCCATCTAGTCCTTTATTTCTTGGAAGTGTGGACTGGGACAGATCACTTCCTTGTTTTGGCATCTGTTGTCAGAAACCACAAGTAGTTCTGTATCTGCTTGTCAACCCTGGGAACAGCAGTAAAATATCCAAAGCGATCACACAGTGTCTATGATGTTTCTAGCAGCTGTGTTTTCTGCCCACCGGGGCTAGGGCTGTGGACCCCTGGATTAGTAAAACTCTTTGGTGGGAACAGTGTCTTCTTGCTTGGAGCCAAACTGAACATAGATCCACCAGTTGGGGACCACAGTGACCCTCTCTCTACAGCACCAAATGTCCCCCACGCTCACACAGGCTATACATACACCTGCCATTGCCCTGTGTAAAGATTTACAGGGTTAAGAGGCTCTTGGAAAAATCCCAGCCTGTTCCATACCTACAGGTTCTAGGCAAGGAGTGGCTGATATGAAGGTGTGTGTTGTTTTGGGTGAGGGAGAGACCTGATGATTTCCCAGATGGTCTGAAAAGTGAAAGGGAAATTGTGCTGGGCATCTGCTCAGCCAACCTTGAGGGTGAGTTTAGGACTGACTGTTTGGCAAGACTTGGTGACTGCTTTGTTTAGCCATATTTTTACACTATTCGTCATACTCTATTTGTTCATTCTGAAGACAATCAATTAATGCTTACTCTGTGCCTAGATGCTGATCCACTGACTGAGACTGGCAGCATAGGAGGACAGGAAGTTTGGGGGGACATCAGGAATTAAACTTTAAGCCCACTCAGTCTGATGCATCTTCACCTTTCCCTTACTCTCTATATCTAATGAATACAAATCTTGTCACTTCTATATACTATTTTAAGAATCCATCCACTTCTCTTTGCCTCCAGTGCTATTCCAAATTTCAAGCCAGCAACATTCTTTTTTAATTGATTTTAAAATTTTTATTTTAAAAGACCAAATCATTGTTTGACTCTCAGGTCTCACGGGAGAACCACTATCCTTACTATCACCACACCACCACTGCAACAACAACCAACAAGGGCCTAATAGCCTCCGTATTTTTCATTGATCTTTCCTTGTGCTGGTACCAGACTGGATAACTGCTTTATAGTTAAGTTTTTAAACCAGGAAGTGAAAGTCCTCCCACTTTTTTCTTATTTTGCAAAATTATTTTGGCTATTTTGGGTTCTTTTCACTTCCAGGTAAATTTTAGGGTCAGCTTTTATACTTCTGCAAAAACACTTGGTGGAATTTTAATAAGGAATGTGTTGAATCTATACTACAATTTGAGGAGTACTGCCATCTTAGTAATATTGAGTTTTTAAATCATGAACATAATCTCCTATCCATTTATTTAGATCTTCTTTATCTTTTCTTAACAATATTTTTTAGTTTTTATTGCATGTCTTGTACTTCTTTTGATAATTTTATTTCTAGGCGTTTTATTTTTTGATGCTACTATGAATAAAAGTGTTTTCCTAACCTCATTTTTGAATTGGTTGTGTCAGTATATAGAAATAAAATTGATTTTTAAAAAGAAATTTTTATTTTGGAATAATTTCAGATTTACAGAAATGTTGCAAAGATAGTACTGAGAGTCCTTGCATCCTCCTTACCCAGTTTTTCTTATCATTAATACTACCTAATGGGTGCTGTGTGCACCATCTAGGGGATGGGCATGCTTGTAGCTCTGACTCGGGCGGGGTAAAGGCAATATATGTAACCTAAACCTTTGTACCCCTGTAATATTCTGAAATAATAAAAAATTAGAAAATAAATATCTTACATTACTATGGTACAGTTATTAGATCTAAGAGACTCACATTTTTACATTACTATTAACTAAATTTTGGACTTTATTTGGATGTCACCATTTTTTCTACTAATATCCCTTTTCTATTCCAAACTCCCTTCCAAGAAATCACATCACATTTAATTACCATTTCTGTATAGTCTTCTCTCATCTGTGACAGTTCTTATTCTTTCCTTGTTTCTCATGACATTGTCAGTTTTGAGGTACTGGCCAAGTATTTTGTAGAATCCCTCTATTTGGGTTTATCTGATATCTTTCTCATGATTAAACTAGGGGTTATTGGTTTAAAGAATACTACAATGGTGATGTTCCTTTCTTATCACATCATATCAAAGGGTACATGCTATCACATGACTTATCACTGGTGATGGCAACCTTCATTATTTGTCCAAGGTGGTGTTAGCTGGGTTTCTCTATGTAAAATTACTATTTGCTCCATCCCCCTCCACACTCCATTCTTATGAAGCAAGTAACTAAGTCTAACTCACACTTAATATTGGGGATGGAGATTAAGATTTGCCTTCTGGAGTGGTTTATATCTACAAAAATTATTTGGAATTCTTCTCTAAAATTCGTCTCTGCTGGCCCATTTTATTATGTATTAAATTATTTATATTAGTATGGACTCATGTATATATATTTTATACTTTGGGTTGTAATCCACTACTACATTATTTATTGCTCAAATTGTTCCAGCTTCTACCATTGGGAGACATTTCAGTTTGTCTCCTGTATCCCTTAGACATATCTTATCCTTTTACTTATTTTCTTTAGCACTTCCTTACTCTCTTGCACTGCAAGATGCTCCCAGTTTATCTTGTATTTTCCTTGCCCCAAGTCATTTTTCCAAAGAGCCCTGGTTACTTTTATTAGAGAACGGTATTTAGAAACCAGTATCTGTGTGCTGGGTGTGCTCATCACTAAAGGGATGTCACCATTTCTAGGTGTTCCCAGTGGATAGAGTTAGGAAATCTCTATATGTGTACTAACCCATATATATACACTCATCTACAACTGTTTCTCTATTAATCTGTATAAATATTAATCTAAACATAAGTATATACTAACATTTCCAACTCTAATTCAGCATCACATGATTTATATATCATTTTTGGTTGAGTGTCTGTTCAGATCTTTTGCTAATTATTTTATTGATTTTTTTTCTCGTTGAGTTTTAAAAATTTTAAGTTTAAGATACACCTTACATCTAGGTATGAGTCTTTTATCAGACATATGATTTGAAAACACTTTCTTCCAATCTGTAGTTTGTCTTTCCATTCCCTGAACGGCATATTTCATAGGACAAAAGTTTTAAATTTTGATAAAGTCCAACTTATTAATTTTTGCTTTTATAGATTATAATGTCATGTCTAAGAACTCTAATTCAAGGTAATGAATATTTTTCTTGTCTTTTCATTTAGCAGTTTTATAGTTTTATATTTTACATAAAGGCTTATGATTCATTTTTACTTAATTTTGGTGGAAAATATGTAGTAAATCTTGAGGTTCATTTTTTCAGCATATGAATCTCCAATTGTTATAGCACCATTTGTTGAAATGATGATTCTTTCATCATTGACTTGCCTTTACATCTTTGTCAAAAATATTTAGCTGTATTTACATGAGTCCGTTTTGGGTTCTCTATTCTAGTACATTGAGGTATTCGTTTATACTTAACTTTCTTTAATACTACACTGTCTCGATTATTGTAGCTTTATAGTACATCTTGAAATTTAGTAATTTGAGTCTTCTGACTTTGTTTTTCCTTTTCAGAGTTGTTTTAGCTATTTTAGTACCTTTGCCTTTACATACAAATTTTAAAATCAGCTTGTGAATATCTGCAAAATGATGAATTTTGATTGGGATTTTATTGAATCTGTAGATCAAATCAGGGAGAATGGACATCTTAAGAATATTGAGTCTTCTAATCCACAAACATGACATATATCTCAATTTAATTAGACCTCATTTGACCTCTTATATTGGTGTTTTGTAGCTTGTCACATACATATCCTGCACATATCTTATTGGAATTTTACCTAAGTACTTCATTTTTGGGGTGTTATCACAAATTCTATTTTCTTATTTGAAATTCCAATAATTTATTCCTAGTATACAGAAATGAAAGTTTTTTTTGTATATTGACCTTGTATCTTGTGACCTTGCTAAACTTAACTTATTATTAATAGTTCCAGGAGCTTTATTGTAGATTATTTGGCATTTTCTAAATAAAGAGATTTTTTCCCTTTCTAATATGCATGCCTTTTATTTATTGTCTTATTGCACTAGCTAGGACTTTCAGTACAATGTTTCATAGTAGTGGTGAGAAAGGATATCTGCCTTGTTCCCAATCTTAGTGGAAAATCACTCGGTTGTTCACTGTAGGTTTTACATGCACAGTCTTTATTAGGTTAAGGCTAATATTCTATTCCTAAGTTGTTGAGAGTTGTTATCACTAATAAATATTTAATTTGTTGAATTTTTTAGCATTAATTTATATGGTCATTTGGTGTTTCTTATTTAGTCTGACAATACAGGAATTACATTAATTGATTTTTGAATGTCGAAGCAGCTTTGAATTCCCGGGATAAACCCCACTTGATCTTTTTTTTTTATTTCGGCATATTATGGGGGTACAGATGTTTAGGTTATGTATGTTGCCCTTGCCCCCCCCCAAGTCTGAGTTTCAAATATGTCCATCCTTTGGGTGGTGTGCATT